CATAAATTCCCTAAAAGTGACCCGATCATGCTGATTTTCGAACTTGACCTGCGTATTATGAATATTCATCAGTTCTGTAAGTTTCAAGGCAAAAGGTAAAATGGTTTTCCACTTATCGTGTTATCGGTGCTGCATATATGCTGAAAAAAGTGAAAAAACAACATAAATTCCCTAAAAGTGACCCGATCATGCTGATTTTCGAACTTGACCTGCGTATTATGAATATTCATCAGTTCTGCAAGTTTCAAGTCAAAAGGTAAAATGGTTTTCCACTTATCGTGTTATCGGTAAAAGTGCACGGCGACGACGGCGACGACGGCGACGACGGCGCCGACAGACGCAGATGATGGCAATATGTACAGACACATCTGTGTCTGTACATAAAAATCACATTTCCACGTAGTCTGTGACAGGGCAACAATTTTTCGTTTAAACACTGTGAACTGAGCGGTGCGTGAAAAAAAACCTATGGCGCGTTACTATCTTCGATTAAAACAAAGTAAAATAAATAAATAAATAAATAAATAAATAAATAAATAAAAGGGCATGCTATCTGTTAAACGTCGCCACTGTTGAAGAACGAAGTTGTCTAGACTACAATTCTGTGCCGACAGTATGGTTTACATGTTTTTGTTATCTGTAATTAGGGTTATGAGTCCCTAATTACAGATTTCATTAAAAAAGGCATTGTTTTTCTTTATCAACGATAAAATCTCAACTAAGACTTCTATGAAATATCGCTGGCAGGGTTTGCAGTACTAAATAGTTTATTATATCAGAGTTAAAACGGTGATCGTGGGTGCTCAGGTAAAAGTTAATTTTGAGAAACCGATTTTTCAATTTTACCCCAAAATCGCGAATATTACGTCACCTGCAAGATGACATATGTGTAAATGTCATTTTATTTAGTCACTGGACACCGAAAATTCATTCATTACCCAAAAGAATGTATGTAAGGCAGTAAATAATGAGTTTTGGGCAAAGGGGGACGATATCTTTAAAATCACATATCCTTAAAATCGCTTTGCGATCGAGCTGCCTACTAAGTCTGACTTAAGAAATCGATTATTAGCGTGTTGTAAGTAACAAAGCAGGCCGATTTTAGTGACTGTTTCCTTATTTTTCGACAAATGTTCTTATAAAACATATCACATTGACGTATAGATATCACTGAGTTTTCTAATGACCGACCATTCTCACTTTTAGGTTACAGGTCGGCTACATGATTAATGGAGTCAAATACATGTTTCAGTAAATTATTCACTTGAGAGCCATTATCAATTTTAAACCTAACAGTGCTTCTACAAGGCAAAAGTGCTTGGTGCAGGTCCTACATGTTGGATGTGTATATACCGTCTACAAGTAATCGTGAATCTGAATCTGAATCGGGCTCACCTGGCACGATGCTATGTCATGCCTTCTTAAAACTGTGCCATCAAGGGAAAAGAACAGAACCTGTGTGCCTGAGTCGTTTTCATTATTCAGTCACTCTAAAATAATAATTTGCTGCACAGGTTTCTTAAAAAGTTGCTGCCCCTGGCTTGATGAATGAACAGAAGTTGCTTTATCAGTTTACCGAGGAATGAACTGATGATGATCTGCACTCTCCGGCTCATTGGCTTTCATTTCATTAAATCAACAGTGCAATGTCGGAATCGTTTTTTTAAAAAAACGACCTTGTTTCAGGTTGCCAGGCTCTTAAAAAACGACACTATTTTTTGGTTGCCAGAATAGTTTTCTTCAAAACAAGGCACTGATTTCTAACCCTCAGAATCGCTTTTGATATATTCAATGGTGTTATGAAAATTACATTGTATACTCAAAACAGCAAAGGGAGATCCCAGGTTCCCGGCCCCTCCAGATACTTTCCCGCCCTAGTGTAGACGACCTTGGAGGGCCCCTCTAACCCACCCATAAACGATTCTAGTACCTGTCATAGTACGATTTTTATAATCAATATTTTACCTCTCTGTTATCATACAAAGACGGTAAATCCAACTGTAAGTGACAAGTCAGTAGAATAAGAAGCCTGTGCTGTGTTACCGCAGAAACGAATCCAGAGCTCGTAATGCGTAGTCAGTAGAATTTTATGACAGCATAATCGATCACACTGGGCTGTACCTGTCTTCTGCAATCGATCAGACATTTCTCTTTTTCCTTTCGTTAGAACGTAAGGTAACTCCATTCATGCAAATGTCCTATAACATAATTGCTTTCGTATTTTCACTGATGCTGGTAGTGATTGCAGTAAGCAATGGAGAAGCAATGCCAAAGACAAAACCACGCTTGGTTTCTGTATGCGTACCATCCTAAACACTATTTATGTTAATGTTGTCATGGGACGAAGCTTGTTCCAAATGTAACCGATCATTTATTATCGAACATTGTCTGTATTAATTGCTTTAAACGTAGACTTAACCAGTTTACGTTAAACATGAACACCACCTGATCCAGCTGAGAAAGCGGAACTTCTCTCTGGCTACGTGCCTGCTTATCCATAACAAATTTGGTATTTTCTTCTTTTGTCAAGTTCTGGTAGCTGTGAGAACATCCAAACAATAGTTAAAGTAAAGGAAATATTTTATCTGATACTGGTGCTTACTTGAAACGAGTAACACTACGTTGCGAGCTTCTTACAAGGTCCCCAGGTGATCCAGTATCAGCTTCAGTTTTTCTTCATTTTAGTTAAAACACAACTCAATGAATCGTAACATTTATTTTGATATCAAAACAATAGATCCGCATCTGCTTTTTATTGTAAGTTCTTAACTCTTAGAGTCTATGAGGGTATACCCTCTGGGTGGTAAAAGTTGTGAAATAAGTTCTAAAAGTTCGAAAGGTAAAATTAAGTGTATTAATCTCGCCATTGTGAATGATACGAGTCATCTCGTCTTTATAGTATCATGCTTGATCACAAGTGTCTCTTTTGTGGCAAATAGGATGGATATCCAGAATCACCGTTCAGTCTAAGTTGGTGTATCCGGTTGAGGAGTTCTCCTGGAGACCTTTAATATACTTTTCTTAAAAAAGTTGACATCAACACTGTTGTAAAACTGTATATATACAGGTGTATGTGTTTCCAGAGAATTTTCACTGCAAATACAAATGTTAATCTGTAAAACTATTTTGATCTTCTAGGGTATATGTAAATGAACTAAAAAACTATCACTGGAAAAAATAAATCTAAACAATTAGTTTATAACACACACACACACACGCACACACACACACAGATGAACACGAATTCAAAGATCATCACTAAAATAATGGTTTCATCTTGATATGGTTACGTGATAACTCTAGGCAATTAAATTAACAGCTACTTTGCATGTACACTTTCATGAATATCATATTTAGGAACAATTGGCACTTTATATTAAATACATGTATGTGGCTCATTAACAAAAATACGGTCATTTGATCTGCAGAAAAAGCATTTACATGTTTGATGACAATTAACATCATCACTCAACACTTTCTTTAGTGTTCAGTAAATAATTTATTCCATACATCCATTCTTTCCAGTCTTTTATGGCAATTTCACCGGAGAGACAGGCCCTCATGGTTTTCTCCCAATATGCTTCCAAGGTCGGGTCTATTTTACCAGTTTCAAACGTCAGGGGGGAGTTGCCCTGCCTAATGCCGGAACTGAAGACTCTAACTGCACTATCTCTCTGATTTTTGAATACATGTTCATTATGCCATATCTCCCACATCATAAGCCCGAAAGCGTAGATGTTGGCACCTGCATCGTAAGGTTTGGTGCCATCGAGGACGCTGTAGGGGAGATAAACCATAGACCCTATGGGCGAGTCGGGATCTGGGGATGGTATCGTGACAGGCTTGCTGATGTTCAGTAACTTCACGGTTTTATCACTCCCAGCCTACAAAACAAAATATAAGGCGCCGTTCAAAATGAATTTGGTCCCAGTAGCTTATGACCAATAACTCCACGGATAGTCCAGGGATTTAGTGAAAAAAAATTTACCTACAAGCATGAAATTTGGCGCAGTTGTGCACAATGAAATTCTAAGCAAATTTGGATATATGGGCATGTCTGAAAATTCCAAAATGGCCGTCAAATCCAAGATGGCCGCCAAAAAACCCTTTCAAAATAAAACATCAACTATATAGTCTTTTAATGGCTTAAAATATCATATAAAGGTTAAGAAACACCATCGCATGAGCTCTTCAGGTGTATAAAATCCAAAATGGCCGCCAAAAGTAAAAAAAACAGCCCACTTATTTAATATATCCATTAGAATGGTGAATTCATCATACACTTAAAAGTACAAGCATAAAATTAAGCACAGTTGTGGACAACAAAATTTCGAGCAAGTTTGGATGTGGTGGCATGTCCGAAAATTCCAAAATGGTCGCCAAATCCAAGATGGCCTCCAAAAATACTAATTTTAACGTTAAGTATATAGTCTTTTAATGGCTTAAATATCATATAAAGGTTAGAAAGCATCACGGTTTGAATTCAGTATCAATATCTGCTTCTTTGGGTGTATTAAATCCAAAATGACCGCCAATAGTAAAAAGCAGTCCAAGATATCCAGTAGAATGGCAAATTCATCAAAAACTACAAGCATGGCATTTGGCACAGTTGTATAGAATGGGATTCCAAGCAATTTTGAATGTATGGGCATGTCTAAAATTTCCAATATATGGCTCCCATATCCATTGTGGCCACCATAAATACCGGTTCAAATTAAAACTTCAAATGTATACTCCTATAGTAGCTTATTAAGATAACATTTTATGGTTAGACAGAACTATAGAAAAGTTTCAATATCATCTTCTTTAGGTGTATAGAAATCCAGAAGTAAGAAAAACGGGCCACTCACAGCAGCAGTATGGTGAATTCATCATGCACTTAAAACTATTTGCATGGAAATAGGCACAATTGTAGAGAACAGGATTCTAAGCAATATTTAGATATAGGGACGATTCTAGGACAATTCCCCGCCGGACAATTCCCCCCAGGACAATTCCCCCCGGACGACCCCCCCAAGAAATATATATTTATATACAAATTTAAAGTAGAAACTGTAAAGTTTAAAACATTTCATGCATTTTATTAAGTGTGTGTCCATGATAGGACCAGTCAGAGGGTGGCAAGGTGGGGGTCAACAGATTTCAACCAAATTCATAATATTGTTGCATATATAGGAGATATTAAGATTGAAGGCAACAATCCCAAAAGAAATCATTGGATATAATTATAATATGATATTCAGTCATAAGATTATGTATGTGTGCATTTATTCCATCTAACGTAAGAAGATTAGATACAATTTTAACGTCAAAAAATACAATAGAGGGAGTGTGATAATGATAGGGTCGCTAAACGATTTTGACGGAATATAGTGACTAGCCTTATCCTCTTGTCGCCTGGGTAGGCACGCCCCCTTAGAGTATTTATGTAAACAAAAGGTCTTCCATAGAGAACTATCCTTTTGTTCAACAGCTTCGCGCGTGCAGCGGATTATGTATATAGTGACGCTATACAGCTAAATGCAGTTAAATCTGTGAAAGCTGTTACTTAATTTATTCTGCTGTGTCGGACGTTGTGGGCCAGCCCAATGGTTCATTCACTCATTCTTTTCTGAAGATTGGTGATGCATATTTCGAATGCTTAATTATTTGCCCTCCTTCTTACAAGAGAAAGGAAAAGGGGAGAGAAACGGAGACAGTGTCAAATAAAAAGGGTAAAGAGTAATATAATACATTA